ATTCTGTGATTACTTTCTCACTTCTGAAACAGGGATGCTTAACAGGATTTTCATTGCAGGAGGTCAGCCGCAAGGTTTATAAAGGCATGCTGGACTTGCTGAAGTGCACCGTGTTGAGCCTGGAGCAGTCATATGCAAATGCTGGCCTGGGAGGCATGGCCAGTGTCTTTGGCCTGCTAGAGATAGCACATACTCACTATTACAACAAGGGTAAGAAAAGTGTTTTTGAGAATATAGTGTTTATGAACCAAACAAGATCCTCATTCTGAAGGTAGCTGTTCTGTGGCTTCTGGTATTTCAGGGGTTTTAGGACACTTTCAAAATAGATGAGAACTGTACCATTGTTACCAAAACCTTACAAAGCTTGAAACCATTCTCTTGCACACATGGAACCAGACCAAAGCAAAATAATGGCCATACTGATGTTTGATTGAAAATGGAAACTGTGCAGCAAGATACAAAACCTGGGACTTTTACAGGTGAAGTGGAAATTCTGAGAGTGGGGACCTTCAGCTGACACTGTCACAACCACAGTCTTGGAGAGTTATTTCGTACAACCTAAATAGAGAGGGAGATGTTTCTAATGTGGAACCATAAGAGACATATCTCACCAGCCACCTTGCATTACACAATGATTCTTATATCACTCTTGGAGAGTGAAGTCTGAAAATACTTCTTTATTTCTCAGCTTTTCCTTAAAATCCAATTCTTAGTGCAAAATAAGAAAACACATGCGTAATGAGAAGGAGCAAAAGATGACAAAAAGCTACCTTTCTACTTAATATCTGACTCAGCTGTAACCTCAAATGATGAAAAGCTCTTTATTTCATTGTAGCAGAGGAGTAATGTCTACTAAACCCTTTACAGTTGATGTTCTGGATGACTTGCATCAGGGATTTTATGAGTTGGCTTAGATGTCCTGTGGGTAATGTGTTCATTTCCAATCATTGTTAGAATGCTGAGGAAGGTCAGGGAGGCTCTGCTCGTGTAACGGTCTTGAATGTGGGGAATAAGCTGATCGTGGTAATTATAAGGCTTTTAGTCTGACACTGATCTTAAGCAAAATTTTAGAGTGGCTGATGTAAAACTCAATGGTTTTAGAGTGAGGTCATGCTAATGTAATGCCAGATACCATAATTTGATGGGAAGCAGGAGTTTACTCAGTAAGTTAATTGTGGTCACGATAGACAAAATTTGATACAAACTTTTGAAGCCTTGATACATCTTTGAAGGACTTATCTCATTATTGCATGACATCTTGATTTATAGTAAAACTTTAGCTGTTTAGTATGTTTTACCTGTTTTCAGTGAGTTGATCTAGATATTTTGAGAAATGCTTCATAGAGATTAGTGCTTATCTTAATGTTATTTAACATATAGTAGTGACCTAGTAATCCTGAACTTGTTCCATTTGCATACGATGCTGTTTGAACAGGACATGATGGATATAGGCTATTTATCTAGAGGAAGCTTAATCTTAATAAAGCGTGGTTGTGATTAATTTATTTTAATATGGCCAAACTAAGGGCTCGTGTTTAGGATCAAGGATGGCTGGTGATAATAGCAGGATTGGGAACTGTGTCCTAGGAAGCAATGGCAGCTGTGTGTGAACTTCCCACTATTTACTGTGTCTGTAAAAACTGGAGAGGGGGGCACTGTGTAAACCTGGGAATATAGATTTTGGGGTGCAGCTACTGTATTGTCTCTGGATATATCTCTAAGGACCCACTGCTGAGGTAGTGCTTCCAGTTCTCATCATCACATTGTGAAAAATTGAGGAGGTTTCTGAAAAGACTTACAAGGGATTGGGAAACCCTTCTGCTCTGAAAGATGGTGTGTTCAGTCTGTTGAATGTTTGGTGTTGATTGTTTTCAGTTATCTAAATGGAAAGGTGTTGCTGGTAGCAGAATCTTCAATCTATTGGACAAAGGTATTACAAGGTCTAGTGGTACCACAAATTTAGATATAAGGATATGAAATTTTGACTATTAGCGTCATCAGCTATTGGAACAATTTGTGCAGGATTGCAGGGGGTTCTTTGCAGAAAGCCTGATTTTAATGATTCTATTCTGAAAGTTTTACTGTAATTCAAGCTGTGGGGTTTGATACAGAGAAATAATCCAAACTGCCTTTGGGGACATATGATTACAGCCTTGGAGAATGATTGAAGAACTATAGCTGATAGGTATTTTTGGGTTTTTTTCCTAACTGAAGTTTCATTTAGTGTTACCCATCAAAGATGAATGTATTTGTCATCTTTTCACTGCGAGAGGAGCTTGCTTATATTCTAGATGTGATATTCTTGGTAGTTTAGGCAGAGTTGTTTACTTTTACATGACTCACTAGAGGAGATACTACAGTCACTGTGTCAAAGGAGATTCCTAGGTTTCAAATATACAGGAAGGAGAGAGTTTTGAGTATCCTAAAAACAGCATTCTGGCTTTATTCTCTGCTGGTTCCACCAGTGTGTCAGATTATCTGCAAGCCACAGTGACCTGTAGGAACAAGTATGGGACTGAGCTGTTTCAGTCCCAGGCTTAATGGTTTGGGTGAGACCATCTGTCTCATCTTCCTTTTCCTGCTCTCATTTCCTTTTTCCTTATGTTTTTTCCTCCCTTTTTTTCTTTTTTCCAACACTCTGTTGTTTTTTTTTCTTTAAAGAACCAGAAAAAAGAAAACGAAGTCCAACGGATGGATCTGTCACTCCAGTTGGCAAGGATCCTGCATCATCCCCAAGAGTGGACCCAAAACCTGCGATGCAGCTGCCGGTACCTCAGCTGATGCCAAAGGCACCGAGCCCTGCAGGCAAAGGGCCAAGGGAATTTGACACAAGGAGTCTAAAGGAAGAAAATTTTATTGCTTCCATTGGTGTGTATTGAGGTGCATGTGAAGTGCAGGAGGGAATTCTGTTTTGGCATTAGGTTCTATTTGCATTCTCTCCATTTTAACACACTACATTGCTGCTGTAACATGCTTCATTTACACCTTGGATCACAAGGAACAATCATATGTGTTTTCACTCTGCTCTTGGATAAACTATCCAAGGCAGTTTTCTCCCAGAAGCTTTCTAATCTTAATTGTTTCTGAATTTCATTACACTTTAGACAACTTTAATTTTTGCTCTTTGACTGATGTTTTCAAGCAACAGGAAATAGCAAAAGGGAGACAGGGCCAGCAGGACTTTGGAAAGGGCAACTCTGGAAGGGACTACATGAAACAAAAGTTTTCTAATCATTGCTGACTACCTGTGCATTATCTAGATTGCATCCTGATAGAAGTGGGATCCAGGATCTGCTGATTGTGAATGATAAAAACTGCCAAAAAGGTTTTAGTTGTAGTTGCACAGTTGCAGTGAGCAGGACTGATGGATCTTCCTTCTATGCAACAGCAAACAGAATGTGTGTTCTTCTAAACAGCATCTGCTAGGCTGGTCACTGGAAATTTTCCCAGTCTAATTTCCTAGCTGGTATAGCTTTTCCCTATGTCTGGGGGAAAGTTAGAGGTAGACTTTGAAGTATTTTTTTCTAAAAAGGGCTTTACAGATTATTTTGGGGGTAAAAAAAAAGAAAAAAGAGAAAAATATTTACCTGAATCTAACCTGCTGTGGATTGTAAACGAGAGCATCAGCATACCATCAGCATGTGAGAGAAATTCTTTGTCAACTCCAAAAATATGGCATGTTAAGTTATAGCCATTGCTTCTTACAGCCTGTTAGAAATAACTTTTTAATGGAATCATTGTATGAAAGTTTAATCTTCTGAAAGCAGCATGCCAGTGTGAGGCTGTACCTGCAGTATGGGGCATAAGACAAGAGAATGTACGTACTGGGCAGTTATGTGGCAGGAGTGCAGATCTTCATTCTTACACCCACATAATCGCTGCAGGCTGCGTGGTGTCGAGTCCTTCTGAACTGATACCGAACCCCTCTGACTTGATTTGTGTTCTTGTTTCAAGAGATAATCTGTGGAGGCAGTTGCTTACTAACTAGTCTTGCACACTATTTGAAAAGCTATCAGGGAGCTAAAAGAGATTTAGATTTCCAGCACTGCAGTTCAGTGGTTCGGTTTGCTCTGGGTATTTAATTTCTTTTCTCTGGAAAAGAGAAGAAGGGAAGTATGCTTCTGACACAACCAAGAATGAAACAAACGCTATGCCAGCGTTCTTTTAAAGAATGGGGAGAGATCTTTGGATTGGGCTGCTGAGACTACTCCTTTCCCTCAGATGAAATTAAAGCCTCATAGAAATGGAAATTATAGAGATCAGACAGTCCATGTTTCTAAAGCATCCTAAGAACTGCTTTTCAAAAGAAGCGCTACTTAATATGTTAACTACTGTTGCCAGAATATTAGCCTTAAACAGGATCACAGAATTGTCTCAAATGGAAAAGACCTTTAAGATCATCAAGTCCGATTATTAACCTCACACTGACAAGTCTCTGACTAAACCATGTCCCTCGGCACTATGTCTACACGACTCTTAAATACCAAAAAACCAATCTTCAAGGATAGACAACAGGTTATTTCTTATTGGCGGTTCTGATGCTTTAATGATTTTCACTTGTCTCTTATGGAACTAAGTTATGAGAAGGATATGGTTTCACCAAAACAGATCAGACTTGGAAAGACTTGAATGCTTTTTCTGGAGCCTTTTTTTCCTATCTGGTTTTGTCTGTCACCAAGAACCATAAACCAGTATGCAAGTCAGTCTTTAAGAAATTGCTGTAAAAACAATATAGTGTCCATATTCATCTGACTCTTGAGATTTAGAAGTAAAGGGAATTTCTCTTGTGTTGCAGGAAGATAATTTGGAGCTGCTTGGCTTTTATACTTCCTTTATGTTCTGTTATGGAAGTGTCAGTATAAGACAATACTTTGGATATACAGGACCAGAGTGAGTCATGTCTAGGCTGAAATTCCTTCTGTAGTGAAATGCAAACTTTCTCATTCAAACTAACTTCTTTAGGGAAGAAGCATTTGGTAAACATTTACGAGTTGCTAAAACAACAAAGTATTTGTAAATAATTCCATTTAAACATGACAAAAACTCATGTTTTCATGAAGATTATCCAACACTGGATCAGGTTGTCTGGAAAGGTTGTGCATTCTCCATCTGTGGAGTTAGTGACATGGGACTGATGGGACATGGTCCTGCAGTAGCCTGCACTAGTTGACTCTGTTTCAAGCAGGGAGGTTTGACTAGATGATGATTCTATGATTCTGTGGTCTTCAGAGCTCCTTTAAACCTCAGTAGTTCCCTGATCCTGTGAAGTTTGGAAGGTGCTTACAGCCTCAGGTTGCAGATATGTAAATAAGACTCTCAATGAATCTGTTGGTATTGTATGGACAAAATACAAATTGGGCTGCTCACCTTTTGACATAGATATAAGAGGAAATACTAGAATGAAAAGTAAGTCATCAGCATGATGGAGTAAAATAATGTTTGGTGATTAAACTGCATCCCTGAGATCTGGAGGTATGGTAGCTGAACGTGTGCTGTTTCCTGGTACTGCAGGAGCAGTGGCCAGGAGGTTCACAGGGTCTTCCGAAGTTCAGGGGGCTGGGTTCCTGCCTGAACCTCTTTTTTTGTTCACTTCTCAGAAAGTTTATGGTTTCTTGTGTACCTCTGAAGTATGTAGGATGCTCCCTTGTAACAGGGCAGGGTGTTGGTATTCAAAATTCTTATTTCTGAAGTGAAGAGTGCTGGATTTTTATCAGTTGAGGATTGATCTTTGCTGTGCTTTATAATCTAATTGCTTAGCTAGGAAATTCATCGTGAAGATGGTGCTTCTAGTACTTTGTTTCCTAAAAGATCACTAATTAATTACTTATTTCTGGGGTTCTTGTCTTCTGGGGTCCCTGGCCCATCACCTGTAGTGTTGGCTTTTTTGTTAGGACACAGGTGGCTTTAAAGTCGATAGTTAATAGTTTCTACCTTTACGTCAGTGGTCAGTTTGGTTTATTGCATGCTTTGCAGTAACTGTTACTGGAAATGTCAGTACTTACTGAAGTTCCCATTACTACTTTTAAAATAATTGTTTAAGGCTGGCAGATCTGAGTTTTTTGAAACAGAAAAGATTGTGATACCTATCTTGTCTGCATCAGATTCTTTCTGGACCTGCTGTCCTGTTAGTTCAGGCTCATCAAACAAGGTCATAGGCATAGTATTGTATGCCCCTTGAGATTATCTGAGGTTTTCCTTTTCTTCTCCTTGAGATTATCTTCTTTGACAAAGTAGTTGAGAGTAAAATCTAGGCTGTTCTCATGCGCTAGGATATACTCTACCCTAAGTTAACAGGCAAGTCAGCTAAAAGTAATTTGATGGCAGGTATTGTGGCTTCCAGCCTGGTGGTTTTTCAAGTAAAGCCATGTAGACTGAGCACTTAAGAGGCCAGATGTTTTCAAAGGCCTTTAATAAACAAATTCAGTACGTCTTAAAGAGACTGTTATCTGTATGAGTATGTGCTCAGCTAGATAAGCCTATAGGATGCTGTTTGGATCCATAAGCAATTTTATCCTATCCATCTGTGTACTTCCAAAAGTTGAAGGAACATCCATCAATCATGAAGCCGATACAAAAATCAGTTGGCTAGCAGCTGTCTTTGTAGCTTTTTCTCCCTTGCTATGTTTGCCTTCCTGATACATTTAATGATAATACTTTGGAGCTCTCCTCCACAATTGTTACACTATCCTTTTATTATTTCTTTTTTTCAGTGGACATTTTGCTAAATAGAACTATCTTGCCCTAATTTCTGCCATTTGCAGGGTGAGATGGGTTTCTGACACACTCAAAGTGGCCTTTTGCTCAGCAAGTTTCCTTGAAGAGCAGTAGAAAAACATTGTATTTCTTTTTCCTTCTCTTTGTCTTTGCCACTTTTCTAAGAGTATCTTCCTCTGTAGCATTCCCAGCTTTAACCAGACTAGGGAGAGAGGACAGTGCCCAGCATTCAGTCAGTTCAGCATGTCAGCCTGTGATGTTTCCTTGGGCCAACAGGCCAGTTCCTGGAATGATCTGATGTTTCTAAGCAGAGAAGATGACTGCATTTCAGGGGGTTGAGGAATGTGAGTGATAGAAAAATGCAAGTGCTTCATGACTATTTTGTCTCAGGGCTGAGCTGCAAATGAGAAGAGTGCATGCAGACTTCAGACTTTTTTCCTTTTCTCTGCATTGTATTCTCTTCTGGAATTCCTTGACTTGATTGGAATGCTGTGGCCTAATTTGAATTTTGGAAGCTGGCATTAAGCATGACTGACATCGTGTGCGTTTTTCTTCTTCCCTGTTTTCCATGCATTATACCCTGGTATGGACAAGTGGATGCAGAGGAGTTCAGGTTTTTTGCATGTAGGACTGGATGACAGGCAGAGCTAAGCATTTATTGAGAATGCTGTCAGGTCAAAAATAATTTGTTGTGCTTGTAAACTTTATGAAAAATTTTAAGATATAATACTGGTTAAATATTGTGTTAACCTACAGTTTTAATTTTCTTGGGATTGCTGCTGCTGTTTTTGTGCCTTTTCCTTTCAATGACATAAGCTAGAGACATTAAAATGTTTCTGTTAATTAGAGCTTCTGTGATGCCTGTGTTTTGGAGGAATAATTATATGACAATCCTAAAGGCCTTTCTCAGGAAAAGTGATTAATTGCTTTATATGTGTTTTTCCTATATAGCTGTTTTTCCTTAGATGGTTCACTGTATGAAGTCATCTCTAGCATTTGAATTTGGTAAATGAGAGATGATGCAGTGCTCAATTCCTAACGTGGATTTCTTGTGAAATGGTGTTAATTAACCCCTCACTCAGTAGTTGTTGTCAATTTCTGCCTTTTTTTTTTTTTTTTTTTTTGAGTTGAAGGGGTGGGATTTTTGTTTTAAATTTTTTTCCCCATTTTCACCTGTCTGACCAGCTGCTGACTCTTTCTCTTTCTCTCCTGCTTTCAATGCATCTTGGGTAGAATTGTGGAACAAGCACCAGGAAGTGAAAAAGCAAAAATCTTTGGAAAAAACGAGTAAGGAAATTAAAAAACATAGAAACTGACTCCTCCAGCCTCCCCATAACTGCCAACTCCCCAGGTGCAGGGTGAGCTTGCATCTATGGCACACAGTTTTTATGCCCACATGAACAAAGTTCTGTTGAGAAAGTTATAGAGGAGACCAAACAGATCAGTTTGCCGTATGGAAATTGTGTTCAAATGTCTCGTCTCTTTTTTTTTTCCTTTTTTTTTCTTTTTTTTCCCTCCCCTGAATGTTGCCTTCTTCAAAGAAGGGGAAGCAGATATTCTGCATCCTTATCGTATCAGATATATACAGAAGGATTTTAAGATAATCCATCTCCTTTCTTAAAAGTTAAAGACCACTTTTCCGCTTAACAAGTCTTTGACATGAATATATTGATTGATTGATTGAATGTCACTGGAATGAAGACTCCTCTGTTCTTTCAAGCAATGGGATGGCAAATTTTGCTACCTGGCATCAACCATGAACAGTTTCTGACCACAGGCAGTCTGCAACAAGAAAAACTTTTGAGGGGGAGAGAGGTGTATGTGAAGAATTGTATTTAGTGATGGCTGTTAGAGAACAGCCTCATAATGAAGAATCATCCTGATTTTGGTTTTTATAGCTCATGTTAAAGGAGGAGTGAAATACTCTGAGGCTGTTTGCAGAGTCTAAATAGTAGTCTGAATCTACACAAATCTTAACATCTATTGAAATATGATATTGAATAAACTATTGAGTATATATTATCTGCAGGTGTAGAACAAGGTTTTACTCTTTTGGTTATCACTGTTGGAAACAGGGACATGTGACATAAGGACAATAGCTAGTTTACAATAACCATGATGGGGTAGGTGTTTCTAACTGTAAGTGTAGTTTCTTCTTTGCAGAGCTGATGCCCCTTTACAGACTGAAAGTTGGGGAGAATTAATAGCTAAGATGGGTGGGTGAAAATGTCCTGACATTCTGACTAGGCCTGGATTTGCTACATTAGTTTAAGGCTCCTCAGTCAAATACTTTACAAGTGATCATCTGGAGATAGTTCAGAGAGAATGGGGCAAACTGGGCACCTCTTGCAGTACAGCTGACTGCACTGAAGAGCTGAATTGTCTTCTGCTGAGGTGGGAGTGTGTGTGAGACACATAGCACATGGCACACACCTCTTCTCCCAAACTGGGCCTTTCACGTGGGTGCCTACATTGGGAGGGATAAATTGAGGTTTTAATGTTTTATGTGTATTAGACATACAACTCCATGAAGAAGGGAAGGGGAGGTTTGTAAGTGCCTGTAAATTGGTAGTGACAACAATGTGATTGTAATTATCGTGCTCCTTAAACTCAGTTACCAGTATTACCCACAGCTGTAAAATACCTGAACTGCTTCAGTCAGTTTCCTTTGCTTTAAAAGTCAAATTGCCAGAAATATACTGGAATTATGTGTTGGGACAGGGAACTCTTAAACTGCTTAAATCACATAGGTGAAGTTTAGTATTCTTGCTGTAGTAATGAGGTTAAAACTTTTTTGCTGTATTGTTATTTAGAACTAGAAATGGTAGCTATTTGAATGAGTGGAAATAGACCTCTAGAAGTGAGCAATGTGTATTTTGTTGGAAAATTAAGTTTCCAAATTCTTCAAAATTATATTTTTAGTTATTTTTCTTTTTTTGTAAACTTTGTTTGTACTTTCTCTTTGTTAGAATCTTTGATGATTTGATTTACAGTAACTAAGGCATATGGATTTAGAGGCAGGATACTATAACAAATGAAAAACACTTTCTGTAAAGAAACACTTCGCGTGGAGAATTGATGGTTGAGTAGTAAGCTAGTATGGTCTGCACAGGCCGCTTATGGCTTTGCTATTCATGAGTTTACATACCATCTCAAACTCACTCCCACAAATCTTTGTATATTATCCTTCTCTCTCTCCTCCCTTCCCTTTTTCTTTCCTTTTCACTGTCTTACCCTCTCTGATATTACATATAATACAAACATGTTCATAATTCCCAGGTTGTTGTGATCAGTGGTTATCAGAGATAGTGGCATTGTTTGCTTAGGAGATGCTGGATATAGTCATGGTTATATAATACAAATATTCCAGTTGCTGATCATGTCTTCCTTTACTGAATAGTTGGCAGATATGGATATGGCAGAAGTGTTGCACTCGGTCTCTTCCCCTTTCTGAGAGTAGTGACGTTCTGTGTACAGTCTATAACACATTCTTTTCTTGCCTCGTTATTTATCTCGTTCAGTGCTTATCCAAATTTCTTTTCAGGCTCTACCTCTCCATCATTCTCTTTTCCTTCTGCCATCCCATCAGAGGACAATAGATGATATGATTCTAGAACTGCATGGAAAATCAAACATAAAGTTCTTTATCCTTTTTTTTTTCCCCTTTTTTGTTTTCGGATCGGCGGGTTAATGCATGACTTAAGGCTTGCTGAGTCCCTGTCTCACTACTGACCTATGTGATTGCCAGCTCTGGAGAGCCATTTGTTCATGCACTTGGGCAATGCTGTGAAGTACAGCATCTTACAAGCTTCTTGAAATTCTTACTGGTGTAACACCAGTTGTCACTGTTCATGTTCTTGTCATGTGTTGCCTGATTTTTGCCTACATAGTTGCTGCGGGCAACCTAACAAACTCAGTCCAAGACTTTGAGCAAATTAGCTGTTCAAAAAAGGATTCTGGCTTTAAGTAAACAAGTATCCTTTAGTTTACTAAGAATAAAGGAAGTGGCTTCCTAGAGTTAAATGGCAACTGCTCTGCATGTGTTGTTGTAATTGAGAGCTACTTGACCTTTGTCTGTCCTCTTTTCTCTCTTGAATGACTAAAAAAAGGTACTGTTTAGCAATAGTCACTCCTGGATTATCCCTTTGGGGTATTTGAAATTCAGATTAATGTTTGAAGAATGGCAGATGTGTCCTGCTGGCCTTGTTGTTTACAGTACCAAGGAATAAATTAAAACAAAAAAAAAATCACAGGAATGAGAAAGCAAATTTGTTTTCTTGGTACTGTTCCTGCTTTCAGTCTGTCATCTACTCTCTGCAATACTGTTTTTTCTTTGTACAGTAATGATTTGCTTTTTCCTTTGTTCAGGGCCAGAAGGTGTGAAACACTTTGATTTGGCAGAAACGGATGAGAAAAAATCTCAAATCAGTGCAGACAGTGGCCTCAGTTTGGCCTCAGGTTCTCAGGTCAGTGGCTCCTATGCTTGCTTTGTTTATGTGGTAAGAGATGGGATTCTTCTATTCACTGCTTAATTGTGGGAAGACTCTAGGGTTTGAGCATTCTTGAAAGGCTCATTCAGTAAAATTTCTTCCTCCCTTCCTTCAGGGGACTGATCTTTATGAACTCCTCAATTGTATGACTCCATGATCTTTTTGACATGCAGGCAGTAGTTTCTGTTTGGCTGGATAAATAAACCAAGGGAGTGCAAAACGTGTGATTCAAGACCCCAAAGAATGGGAAATGATGTTCTCTCCTTAGGATAAAACTAATGTGACTTTTCTTCCTGTCCTTTATATGTTTTGATTGCAGAAGAGTGATTTTGACTCTATTCCCAGCGGAGGACCAGCAGTTATGGTCCGAAGTACAAGCCAGGATTCTGAAGTCAGCACAGTGGTAGGATATGCCCAAAGTGAAATCCTGATGTAATTCACTGCTTGTTAAAGTAGAGGACGGCATTTTGTGCCTACATTTTGTGTGGTGTGGCTGCACGCTGTCATGTGTGCCTAATGTGTGTCTATGAGTTCTCTCTCCAGAGCCTGTGAGTGGGTGACAAGCATGTGTGTCTCACAGAACATACACAGAGCTTTATTAGCAGATTGCATCCTTCATATATGGTGCTCAGTGCTGTTACATATCCCTACGTATTGGTTATTTATGGAACTGGTCGATTGCAATAATTTTATAAATATGCCTTAGTTGTGTATAAAGGTTCTCTAAGGAACAGAAATTCTACAAGGTATCCTGAGAGCAAAAAAGGCAGATCATTTGATGCATCACAAACAAGAACAAACTTTATGATGTATTACCTTAAAGCACTTGAATCGTATTCAAAATACGTGTCTGCTTGCTTTCCGATC